TTGTCGTACCATGCGCGAGGATTTATTCCAATTATATGAAGTGTTCCGAATATAGGGATTGGTATAGGACCTGGTAATGGACTAGAACGCGTAAAATATTTGTAATAGAAGTATGATACATAGACCACTAACAGTGCTGATATAGTAGAAATCCAATTAGACGAGCAAAGGCTTAAGATTGATAGAAGCGACATTTTTATGAATATTTTCTCTTCAATTAAAAGTTTTATTTTTATTTTTACAGCTCTTATAACCTTTTTTTTTGTCTGTAAAAAAAAGTTGAGCTGACTACATTTATTCTTAAGTACGAACGTATGCACACATACGTGTTGTTTTTAAAGTTCATTATCCTGCTGAATAGTTACACGAAAATGGATATAATGTAGATGATACGTATCACATTATCTAAAAACTTTATTCATCATTTTACAATGGTAATACGCTACATAAGCATAGGATAAAATTATGAATGTAAATATTGAATATATATTTGTCAAAAGATTTGTGAGTTATACAAGATCAAAAAATGAGGAGTACAAAATAGTAAGGATTTTTGAGTTAGAACATTGGGTCATAAGAAAAATACTTAATAATCGGCTTGCGCCGAAATTATTACGGCTTATGTCGTAACTAGTTTCAAATTAGCTACGTACGTAAAATAATTTTGGCCCATATATAGTCATTCTTAGTGCAATAAGGCAAATTTAAATGTTCATTTTCGCATACATACATATACATATATATTATATTTATATATATTTAGGCTAATTCGAGATAAACAAAATTTAAGTTTTTTTTTTAATTGTACCATTAGCATAATAAAATTTTGTCACTAACACAAATAATTGCAAATCAGATTTTACGAAACACTCATCAGTTTTTTTTTTGTACAATAAAAATTATTTACAGGAAATTAATTGTATATGTTTGGATCACTAACTTAAAATTTCTTTATCTAGTTAAATTAAAATTCAAGACTAGGTATAACTAGGGAAATTTTGAAATCCGATTATGGGCGTTTTAAATTTCAACTCGATGTGACATCGCGGCGGATCAGTGAAATTTGTTTGACCTTAATTTAAGTCACCAAATTTAACTGGATAGAATTAATTTTAGGGTTACTTGTATAATTGCAATATCAACTAAGACTTATTTTTGTAAATTTAGGGTATTTAAATAAGGTTCAAGTTCCACCAATCCGCCGCGATGATTCCTAGACAGTGACCTTTTTACTATCTCCGATAATATTGAATTTTTATTATATCTATATAATACTGTTTAAATGTTAAAATAATTAAAAAAATATATACGTATCAACAATCATTATGTAATTAAACAATTTATTATAATCAGTTAAAATAAAAAAAAATTGCGTTTGATACTTGTGCGATTATTAATGTTTTTTTTATATATTTACCAAATGTTGCCGCTATTAGGCTTAGGTAATCATCGATATTCAGTTGTTGCACCAAACGAAAATATTACGGCGAAATAGTTGAATTTGTTATTATATGAATAAATGCCAAAGGATGGTAAGCATTCATAATTCTTTTTGAGTCTTCTGATATTTTTATTTGCCATAAAAACATTAGTATAAGGAATAAATAATAATTTGTTGATGCTGAACCTATAACAAAGTTATTTGTGTGATCTCTTTGAATGTTTAATTAAAGTCAAGCAAGATATAAGAAAGATAGTTTGTAATAAAAAGTTTGAAATTAATATATTAAAACCCACTAATGTTATTTTACTAATAAAAATATTTTATTTACGCATCAAATTACGATTATTATATTTATCACAATGACAAGTACACTTGCTAAGTAAAGTTTATCGATTATTGCGATTTGCAAAATTTGATTATTAAAAAAAAGTAATCATTGATTTCCGATTTCTTCGACATTTTTGACGTTTAGATTAGACAAAATTTACGTATTTATTTATAGAAATAAAAGTAGCATATTCATCATTTTGCAGAAATAGGAGTTGGCATTAAAATATTCAATCAAATATTTACAAATGGTAAATGCGCAAATTCTGTCTAGTCTAAAAGTCAAAAAAAAATTTATGAAATTATTGATTACTTCTTTTTTTAATAATCTTCAAATTTCACATACGTAATTTTGCAAACCGCTATAAAGCGATTTAGAACAATTAAATCGATTATCCCTTAAACCGTCAATTTAACTACACATCTACTACGATTTAGACAAAATCCAATATGATTTGATAGCTTAAGCACAGATTAATCATAAAATTTCAAACAAATTTATCTGGAGAACGGTTTAAGGGATAATCGATGATGAGAATTGTTCGAAATCCTTAGATTCTAATCGGATTTTAAAAATTCCCGATGAAATTTTAAAGCCAGATTGCAATTGGTTATCATCCTCCTTGCCGATTGTATGCGATATAAATTACAATCAATATAGATCGAAACACATCTGTAATATTAATATATTCTTCGATCGATTGCAACCATTTAAATAAGCGTTATTAAAAACGCGGGCTCTCAAAAATTACTTTTTGAATACATGTGATCAAAAAGAATGTTCGATGATTGTTCTAGTCATTTCAGTATAACAAATCAGGTGCCGTTTAGAAATTTATACGTATACAGTTAGTTTTTATCAGTTGTTGCACCAAAAGTGTAATGTTTAATAATGTAATTAGCTAAACGCTTTACAAATAAAGGAAATGTTTGTTCCATAAGAAGTAATTTAATTATCTATCGTCTTCAATAAAAAATTTTTTAGCTCTTGAATTATCTTTTCATTATCTTCTAATTTTTGAATTATCTTATCGTCATTATTTTCTAATTTTTGAATCTTCTCTTCAATATTTTGTTCTCATTATCTGTTAATTTTTGAATCCTTTCTTCGACTTCTTTAATTTTCGAAATAAATTATTTTTATCTATTGCTTGATCTTTGTCTATAACTTTCAGTAATGTATTAGGAAGAAACGGCGTTACAGTATCGTCCCAATTATTGGTTTGTATTTTAGTGATTACTTCATAAAGTCTATCGAGACTAAAGCTATAAAATCTTTAAATATTAATTAATGTTAAAATTATATAAATATTAACCAAAATTTTTACAATAATTTGATCTTTACATGAGTTCAGGAAACCAATTATTTTTTCTACGCTGGTGTGGTAGCATATAAAATAGTTCTATTTCTGATAAAATCTGTTTAAAAAAAAACCAAAAAATGATTATTCCAAAAATATTCGAAATTTTCATATTTAGATATTTAACAATTCTAGCTTTAGCTGTTTCCAGCTTTAACCCAAAAATTATTAGCATGTTATTAAAATATATTACCTTTGCTCTTTGAAGTAAAAATAGTTCCTTTTTATTTGTTTCTTTAATAGAATTAGACAACAATCCAATAAACAAGTTCATCAAATAGATTATTGTGAAGAAAGAAAAAATAACTATCAAAATCATCAATGTTGGATTTTCAGTTAATGACCAATTAGACAAATAGGACGTATCACCTATAAATAGTTACATATATAATTAGAAATAAGTATAATTATTGTTAGAAGAAAATAATTAAAAAATACCTATTAACATCATATAAACAGCCAAATATGCTGTGCTTAAATTTGTAAACATATTTGTATCTAATTCTTTTGAATTATTTAGATCATTTAAAGCATCAGTCATTGGTCTTAATAAAATATGTAAAGAATGTGCAAAAGCAAACATAATAAAACCAATTATTACAAAAAAAGATAAAGAATTTTGTATAACTCCAATAATCATTGCCCAATGAGTACCACCAAATTCAATAGCCCGAAAAAATGTTATAAACTTTAATTCAAGTAGTAATATAGAAATTGTAATAGCCTAAGTAGGTGCTGTAGAAGATTGTAGCCAATTAATAGAAGTTAATATAGGAAATAATATTGCGCCTATATCTTAAAAATATTTTTTAAATATTATTATTAGTTATTAGTTATATATACGTATAAGAATACGTACATTATAATTTTATAATTATTAAAATTTAAATACCAAAATAATTCCAAATATCAGTAATCCAAAATAAAGAAGAGTAAATAAATTGTCGAGTTTCAAAAATAAGGTGTAAAACTCCAAGAATGATAGTTATAATTAATAGTAGATTCTGAGTATTAATAGATAATGCTCTATTGTAGCAACTATTAGAAAACAAAACATAAAAATAAAATAAAAAATAAAAATAGCAAAAAAATAATATTTTCCGTAGGTGTTCCACTTAAAACTAAGAAGAGCTTCACTATACCAATATTTATATAGTTCAGGAAATTGATGTTTAGAAAAAATACTAGGACTAGAAAAAATTAATTCTTTATAAAAATTATAATTACCATTGTAAGAACTAAATTTTGGTAACGAAAAAACTAAAATTATAGCCTGAAATTCTTTATATAAAGTTTTTTCAAATTTATCAAATATATTATCAAATATAATATTAACTATAATATCAAATATATTTAAATATATTACCAAATATATAAAATAAATAAATTTTACCAGTAATTAAACTATAAAAAAGAAAAAGAATATTAAGAATAAAAATACCAAGCATAAATATATAAATATATTACCAATAATTAAAATATAAGGAAGCAAAAAAATAGCAAAAATAAATATAAATATTAAATACAAATATACGAAGTAAAAAAAATCTTTTAAGGTATTAAAAAAAATATTTTTTTTATATTGCTAGTAAAAAATGATTGTAAATATTTTGTATAATTTTGAAGATGTGGTTCTGAAAAATGTTTGATATGTTTAATTTCTTTAAAGTTATTAGTTAAATGAATAAATAAAGTATGTGATAAAAATTCATTCAAAAATTGTGGAAGTTGAGTTAATTCTATAAATGAAAAAGTAATAATATCTAATAACTGAATTTTTACTAAAAAGTTCTCATTTTCTGATTCTTTAAAAATTTTATAGCATAATTCTTCTGCTATTGAATAGTTTTTTGATTTTAAGCAAACCTTTAAAGTTCCTGTCCATATAATTTTACTAATATATTATCTTCAATATAGTCATTTAGTAATTCTTTAAAAAAATATCTTTCTTTTGCATATGCTTTTTCACTATTAACCATGATAAAATTAAAATCTGGTGTAGGCATTAGATTTTTTTCATATTTTCGTAATTTGTCTAATATTAATTCTTTTGTTTTATCATCCCAGCGAATTATATATCGTAATCTAATTTTTTCATACTTCTGCCAAATTGACCATATTAATAATCCAAAAGATGTAATTATTGCTAAATCTTCATTATGCAATAAATTACAACTATAAATTTTAAATTTGATATCTTTTGGATGTTCATAGTCAAACTGTTCATTTAATTTTACACTATTTATTGGAAGTTCATAATCAAACTTTTCGTTTAATTTTATACTATCTATTGGTTCCCATATGTTTAAATCATTTTTTTTTCAAAAAAGCTCTTATTTCTTTTATTTCTTTTGTTCCTTTTATTTCTTTTGTTTCTTTTATTACTTTTGTTTCTTTTTCTTTGCTTACTTCCCACTTCACTAATGATCCAACATATGATCTATAAACTGATTCATCATGCTTGTTTTTTAAATATTGGTCCAGAATCTTCACTATTTGAGATTTGGTAGGTAGAGCTCTTATTTTATTATAATCTTTTAAATTTTCTCATAAATATTTAATCCATTGTTTTTTAGAAATCTCTTGAACCAATAAAAGTCCATCTGATACGTAATATATTTTTTCATCTATCAACGTCTTAAATTCTATTTTTTGCACATCTAACTTTGTTGAAGCTCTTTCATATAAAAGTTCATCACATAGACCTGAATTAGTTTTATCGTTAATAACGTGTTGAAGGTCGTAAGGGTCCTTTATTTTAAGATTATTATCATCACAAAGTAAAAGTAATCTCTCTCCTTCATCGGGCGAAATGAATTCTAACTTCAATAAACATTCTTTAACTTGGCCTATTGATTTATTATAAATTAAAGAATTATAGTAAATAAATCAGTGATGTTTAGTGCTACATATTTATAGAAGATTTACTATTATTATTAATTTAAGCTTAGGTTTCTTTTGAGCGTTAAGCATTAATACTTAGTGCATCAAACGCCAGTTATTTTTTATTTGTTATTTTTTGAAATATAAAAACCATTTGTATATCTTGAAATATTGATAGTTGGTTTGCAAAAAATGGCAAGATTTCCAGATTTTATAGATCTGATGAACACCTTTTGCTAATAAAGATATACAATTAATGACTTACATTGTGACAAAAGCATCGAAGTATCTGTCAAATAGACATAAATAAATTCTTCTAAATATACCGCAAGTAATGTAGAATTTTTATTAAAAATACAATGCCATCCTTTATCGCCATAGAGATGGTTTGTATCCAACTGATATTGGTTTTCAAACAATAATGTATTTAAATTCCATTGTGCTAACGACCCACATTTATCAAGAAGCATTTTCTTTTCCTTGTCATTTATATAACAACGCATTACATCTTTTCCACAGGAAATTAATTTATTAGCCGTCCAGCTTTGCTTATGTAAATTTTTATATGAAAATTTAAGAATAAGGTTGTCGTCAAGATTCTTAAGATAATGGTCATAATATGTATGTATATGCATTACAAGATCTCCATTTTCATAAAATTTATATCCAATAATTGCCCGATTCTTTGAATATGGATCTAATTCTAAGTTTATCGCCTTCTTGGTAGCAAGTTCAATAAACTCTTTAAAAGTATAAATGTTTTGTAAACTAATTTTAAATATTGCAAATATTGTCAATCATTTTATTTACTTATCACTAACCAGGATACGATCCTAATATTATTGCGACAACTTTATTATTTGAAACTGTATTTAATGAGTATTCATAAAGAAATTTTATTGAACAGTCAAACTCAAAAGGTTTAGGTTGAAATGATTTATTTTCTGATTGCTCTGCAGATTGTTCTGGTTGCTCTATAGGTTGATCTTTAAGTTGCCATCCACAAATTGATTGATCATCTTTGCTCCATGTCGCTGCGTACTTGCCATTTTGTGATAGCACTAGTTGTGTTATTTTCTTGCCATTGTGTGGTTTAGTTTGTGAATATTCACTTTCATAGATCATTTTTGAAAAAATAATGTTTCATACGCGATTTAATTTTTTTAACAAAGTACGGTTTAGAGTATTATTCAGCACACAATGTTCATGTCGGCTTAGTTAAATTGCTATTGCGACTTAGCCGTCATAAACAACTTAGCTGGCTAAGGCCTAAGAATTATTAATTTAAAAAATCACAAATAAACATAATTTTTAGCCTTTAGATGTAATGCTCAGTATGCTATATATCAATTATGAAAATTTTCAAGATTTCTCACATATTGTTGGGTTATTTACTTTAAAACACACCAGCATGAAATATTGTACGTACGTATTCAAGCCTTGATGACAAAATCGCTTATATTTGTGTTAAGTTGCTTTGTTATGCACCAGAACCATACTCTACGTTTAACATGGCCAAAAAAAAAGCTTGGGCATGGCATAAATTTGTCATGGTGAAAATAGTCCATGAATAATTAAATAATCTCAATTATTAGTTGTTTTTTAACATATATAAAAGATTTTACCCGTCTTGAGACTCCCTATGTTGGCACGATAAGATAATTCTTTGTCATCGAGGCTTTTATGTGTATTATATTATACTTATCTATTCAATGTTCATCTTGTAGATTAATAATTTTAAATAAAAAAGGCTATTAAGTCGTTTATAATATTATGCCATATAACAAGCAACAGCTTAATTGACATTATGGCAGGTAACGTATAAGTACCGCCAAAGGAAAGCCTCAAACCGGAATTTAAGTATTATTATTTTGCTAGACTCAGCCTAGAGACTAGAGATGGGCAAATCGCGGTTTTTCAAAAAATCCCGCGCGTGACGCGCAGGATCCGCGCGGGATTCATTAAATCTAGGTGCCGCGCCCCAACGGCTGTGATCGACAAAATTTTGGCCGCATTATACATAATTTTGGCTTAAGGTTTGGGTCTGTGTAATGGTAA